AGATATATTCCCAGAAGTGGAATTGCTAGATCTTAAGGCAGTTCCATTTTTAATTTTTTAAAGAACCTCCATAGTAGTTGCACCAATCTGCATTCCCATCAATAGTGCACTAGGGTTCCCTTTTCTCCACATTCTCATGAACACTGTTGTTTGTTGATTTATTGATTTATTGATGACAGTATGAGGTGGTATCTCATTTTGGTTTTGATGTGAATTTCTCTGATGATTAATGATTTTGAGCAACTTTCCATTTATCTATTGGCCATCTGTATGTATTCTTTGGAAAAGGTCTGTTCATGTCTTCTGCCCAATTTTTAATTGGGTTGTTTGTTTTTCTGGTGTTAAGTTGTCTGAGTTCTTTATAAATTTTGGATATTAATTCATTATTTTATGTATCATTAGTGAATATCTTCTCCCATTCAATAGGCTGTCTTTTCGTTTTGTTGGTGGTTTTCCTTGCTGTGCAAAAACATTTTAATGTGATGTGGTCCCATTTGTTTATTTTTTTTCTTTTGTTTTTCTTACCCAAGGAAATATGTCAGAGATTTATTTTTTAAATCTCTAATCCTAATCCTAACAGAGATTCACTTAAATTCCAGGAACAACAGCAATAATAAAAAAAATATTCCCCTTTTCTTAGCAGATTGGCTCTGAGCTGGGGCACTCCTTTAGCATTTAGTCCAGCTGCCAGCAACTCTGCCTTAGACTTCCCCTTCCACTGTGTAGAGACTGAAGATCACCTAGAGGTAGCTTAGGATTTTTTTCAGGTCTTTTCTGAGCATGGATCTGGCTCTGGGCATGCGTGTTGCATTACAGATTCTTTGGGGTATGGGATAGGGTGTGAAAGCCCTTATTCCTTTAAGTATCTTCTTCCTTAGCCTGTTCCTTCTCAGGCTTTCTGTCAGTCTGCCGACTGTCCGATCTGCTGTCTCTTGCTCCAGGTAGCTACAGGTAGTATATGTCTTCAAAGCTCTTGATTGACAACAGCCTGAGGGGCTGCATCCATCAGAAGGGAGCCTCAAGATGGGTCAAAATGCATATCCTTAATGTCTGAGAATAAAGTAACTATTTCACTTCCTGGCACCAGCAAGGTGCCACCAGGGACTCAGGCCACTATTGCCATGTCTGCTGCCAAGATGGAAGATGGTAAATGACTAAGCAAAAAATACTATAATGCTTTTTTACTGAAACTTAATGGCTTCCCCCCCACCCTCTTCATTAAGGCCCTTGGTACTCTCAAGTTTTTTGCATATATACAGATTTTACCTACATATTTCATACATCCAAAAATGTTGATTTTTATGAGTTTTTGCCAGTTTAATTGCTGCTTCAGTGAAGAGACTTATTTTCTGAGCTTTCTACTCTGCCATTTTCCATGACATCATTCTGATATCTATAATTATATTTTTAGACAATATTTGTTGATCGTCTAATGATCAAATTAATGTGATTCCTCTTTATTTCTCTATCCTCTTGTTTACCATACATTTTTGGATAGCAATATTATATTTCTTAATTTTTATCTATTTACTATTAAAATTTTATATTTTTATTACTTGATCTGTCAACTTTAATTATATACATTCTTTAAACCCCAGCTGGGAGACAATTGATAATTTTACTACCAATATTTTTCCTCTTTTACTTCTCTAAATTTGTTAATTATTTAATTTCTATATTGTCATGACATTAAACTATTTTATTCTTTTTTTTGTCCAAGTTCTCTTTATGTGTTTTTGTCTTTATTTTACAAATTAATATTTTCAATACTTATTGCAAGTCCTTTTGCTGTGGTCTCCTCATTCATGTCTTCTCTGATGAATTTAATTCTCTTCTAGTTTACTCTAAATGAATGCATGAGAACAATGGTCACTAAGTATTTGCATTGATAAAGCTGTTTCTTTTTAGTTTTTACACTTTTAGGACAGATGGCTAGATATAACATTCTCAGTTTACCCTTTCTTTACTTGAGTGTCTTGTAGAAATTTCTACACTGTCTTTTGTACTTTGAAGAAAACTATAGTAAGATAAATTTTTGTTCTCATAAGTGGTTTGACTTTCTTATTTGGTTATAAGAAATTATTTACTTACCTTAAAAATGTAATACTTATTTTAATATATATCTCAGAATTGCCTATTATGGTAGATAGAGTAAATATCCACATCCTAATCCCCAAAACTTGTGAGTATATTACCTTATAGGTCAAAGGGAACTTTCCAAGTGTGATTAAGAAAAGGAATTAGGAGAGATTAGTCTGGTTTATTGGAGTAGGCCCAGTGTAAATACAAAGATCCTTTTAAAAGAGGGATTAGCAGGGTCAGAGTCCAGAGAAAGCAACATGGTAATGAAAGCAGATTTCAGAATGAGGTACTTGCTGCCTGGGAAGATGGAAGAGGCCATGAGCCAAGGAACACAGGCAGATTGCAGAGCTGGAAAGGCAAGGATGTGTTACCCAAATTCCTGAAAAAAAGCCCCACAGACTTGCCAACACCCTGATTTTGCCCAGTGAGACTTCTGATGTTTAGAATTGTGAGATAATAAATGTGTGTTGTTGTCAGTGTATTTGTGATAATTTGGTACAGCAGCAACTAATCCAATATAATAAAAGGTTAATATGTAAATTGATCGAACGGCAGAATGACCAGTTGCTTTGAAATGCACTGACCACCAGGGGACAGATGCTCAACACAGGTGCTGCCTCCTGGCGGTCAGTGATTCCCACAGGAGGAGCACCACTCAGCCAGAAGCCCTGAGCCAGGCTCACGTCTGGAGAGAACAGCACTAAGGATGTCTGACTGATGGTGCAGGCCGGGCTGAGGGACCCCCGAGTGCATGAATTTCATGCACTGGGCCTTTAGTAAATTAATAAAACTATTTGGAACCAATTTTTCCTGGCACATGATGTTCCCTTTCAGTCTGTAGTAGCTCTAGTCTAGATGGTTCCCCTGCTTGACTTTTTGTTGTTTGTTTTGTCAAAATGCCAAGGTTCCAATTAAGTATATGCTGGTAATTCCTACCTCTTTTCTATATTCTATTGTTGTACATTTTTCTTAACCTTCTTTTTTATTTCCATCTTATTTTGTTTTGTGCAAAATCTTATTTTGTTTTTTCCCCTTCAGAAACCTTTTTTCCCTTCATTTAAAAGAGCTTTGCCCCCCTCCAAATTTCCCAAGTGTTTTAGCTAACATTGAAATTTCCTGGATTGTCTGTCTGTAAGAGATTTCTGTATGTAAGTTAGGGGTTGTTCACCTTTAGGGAGCTGATTTTTGTTGGTTCTTTGTGAGGTTTGCACTCCCAGCCCTTCTCACCATTTTTAATTCTTCTCTTTACTTCTACATTCAGCCCTCAGTGTGATCTCATTTGCAGTTATTTTGTAGAACACAGATCTGTTTCTTTCATATTATTTACAGGAGGTAAAGAAGGAGAGATGTGTTTTCATACTCATGTTGATAGTGGAAGTCTCTTGTTTATTTTATGCCAACATAATTATTTCATAAAGGCAGTGATGAAATTTACTTTAAATCACAGCACTTAGTCTAACTAGCATGCTAAAAATCTAAGTTTTAAGATGTAGAAACATGTTATAATGTTTATGTTTAAGTGTATATTCTAGCTTTTAATGTGCTGTTTAGTTTGTTTTCTTTAAGGATTTGATATTTATTCAACAGCATATATTACTGAGTGCATACTATGTGCTAGGCTTTATTCTTAGCATTTGGGTTTACAGCTATGACCATAGAAGAACCATAGCCTTGGCCTTATGGAGTAGAATCCATGTGTGTATGTGAGTGTGAATGTGGTTGTATATGCATGTGTGTGCAGTGGGGGGAAACACAGACAATACATAAAAACAAATAAACACGTACTCTCTTTAATAGGAATATTTCCAGTAAGTGGTAATGGAAAAAATAAAATGCAATAAGCATTGCTCAGAGTCACTTAAAATGGAGTAGGGAGGTCACTGAGTAGGTGGGGCCTGTGCACATCCGGTGTCTCAGTTCTTAGAACTGTTGTTAAGTCGCAGACTTTTTGCTAAACTCAACTCAAAGTTGAACAACAAACATCCTGGATCCATGATTGCTACATGGACATCTACGGACTTTACTTCCTCTTCATCATGGTGACCAGACCATCTGCATTCTTCACCTTGAAAGGAACCAATCCATTTACACAGTGGATCTAACATTATTTCGGTGAAAAGAGGAGTTTGCTTTCTCCTGATAACCTTTGCTAAACTCTCACAAACTCACTGAGTCTGCTCTGGGAACAGAAGGAAAACTGAGAAATCTCTCTTAGTGTGTTATTCGGAGACACTTTGTACACCCTTTGCCTCAGCCTTTCCCATCCAGCTTTTATTAGGTGAATTGCTGGAATTCAGAAGAATGAGAGAAAAACCAGACATTTCAAATGAAGGGTTTGGTCTCAAGTTCCTATATCTGGTAGTTGTCTGGGTTAATATGTAAATAACAGTAGAGAAACCAGTGGAGTACTGTGATTTGTCTTCTTCTTCTTCTTCTTCTTCTTCTTCTTCTTCTTCTTCTTCTTCTCCTTCTTCTCCTTCCTCCTCCTCCTCCTCCTCCTCCTCCTCCTCCTCCTCCACTTCTTCTTCTTCATCTTCTTCTTCTTCTTCTTCTTCTTCTTCTTCTTCTTCTTCGTCTTCTTCTTCTTCCTTCTCCTCCTCCTCCTCCTCCTCTCCATCTTCACTCCAAAGTCTACTCCTACTCACCTCTTCTCCTCATCCTATACCTCCTTCTCTCTTCTCTTCTTCTTCTTCTTCATATTATCTTCATTCTTCATCATCTCTTCTTCATCTTCTCCCCCTTCTTTTTCCTCCTTCTCCTCCTCCTCCCCTTCCTCCTTCCTCCTCCTCCTTCTTCTTTCTTCAAAGATAAAATCTCCTCTATGTCTCAGACTTAGTTTAGTAAATTAGGCAGAGGTGAAAAACCTGATTTTCTCAATTTTCCCTGTCTTATAAATTTGTTCTCCTTCATTGTAGGAGATTTACACGTTTGTTCCCCTGGCTTTCTCAGCTTTAAAAGAGGAAGAGCCCCTAGAAGAAAGAGAAAATAAAATATTAGTTAAAGAAACCGGTTACTTTTTTATATATGGTCAGGTAGGTTCCACCCTCATTCTGCTGTTGCTGTACAATGCTTCCCATTTTGTGATCACCTCTGACAAAGCTCTTTGGTTTGTTTCTCAGGTTTTATACACCGATAGCACGTTTGCCATGGGACATCTAATACAGAGGAAAAAAGTCCATGTCTTTGGGGATGAATTGAGTTTGGTGACTTTGTTCAGATGTATTCAAAACATGCCTGAAACACTACCCAATAATTCCTGTTATTCAGCTGGTAAATAATAGTTCTCTGTAAATAGACAAAAAGACATTCCTCGATATACTGTGTGGCTTTGATTATCTTGAGTGATAAGCTGGTCTGTTTTAATTGAAGCAGATAAAATCATTACTAATAGTTTTATCATTTTTATATACATAATAATTTCATATACATATAAAAAGGGCAGTAACTTCATAGCAATCAACACTGAGAACCATTCTAAGCTGTATCTTCTTCACACTGTAATAACAACAGTGATAATAATCTATATTAATAAAAGCATAATATGATAATTAGACCGGAGAATCTTCTGGATGAAGCCAGGGCTGTGAGGGAAGCCCAGGTCCTGGGTACCTGTCGGCAGCTGGAGGGAAGCCCGGGTCCCTGGTGCCAGAGGAAAGCCAGTACTGGCAGCCGGGGGAAGGAAGGCCTACTCTTGCACGAATTTCATGCACTGGGCCTTTAGTAGAAGAATAAGAGAATGATTACCATGTGCCAGGCGCCCTGGTCTGCACTTTATAGTTGTTCACTTAACCCTCCTGTTTCAGGAAGGTGGAATCTAAGACCCACGTTGTCTTAGGTTGCACAACGACCAAGTTCCAGAACTTGGGTTAAACCATCCAGGTTGATTCCAGAGTGTGAGCTACCAGAAACTCTTCTTTACTTGCTATGGAAGGCGTTCCCCTTGGCTGATGTGAGCATCAGGTCAAGTTGCCCAGTGGCTTCTCACACTTTCATACAGGTGACATCTGGTGTAATGGATCCCAGACAGGTGACTTGGGGATGTGAAATTGTGGCAGTGAGCCTGTATTTCAACTCAGGGGCAGTAAAGATACGGAGAGAAAAGAGAAAGGGTAGGCTTTATTTATTTCAGGTCTGTTTGGGCTGTATTGACAACATGGCCTTTATTTTGTTTTTTTTTGGGGGGGGGGTGGGTAATTCCAAATGAATCAAGGCTGGTATTAGAAAAAAAGAATATTTGTCTTAACTCATTCATTCCTCTATGGTGAGTTTGACAAATCCATTTGGAACCCGGAGGAATGTCTTCAGTTGCAGTTGCCATGCATGGCAGTAGGAAACACAGGGTTGGAGACTGGCTGCTCAACTTGAAATGGCATATTTCAAAGGCCTTTATTAACAAATGCACAATGAATCAGAAAGAAAGGGAAATAGCATGTGATGATAGGGATGATGTCATTCTGGGTCTGCAGCCATAAACAGCTTTAACAGGGCAATGAGGAAATTTGTTACATTGGAAACCCCTAATTTTCATTTTAAAAAAAGCTTCCCTGCACCCAGCAGTGACTAGTATTTTGGTGTTGCAAAATTTTATTAAACGAGGCTATGCCAACCTGCTATTTATTTATACCCATTAGTAGTTATAGCTTTACAGCAAACTTTCAGATTTTCTAATAAGCTGCTGCTCTCATATTTACTTTCTTGACAGATTTCCTGGGTGCCTTACTTTTTAAGAATAAATATTGACCCTGAAGATATTTCTCCATGCTAATAAGCTTAGTATTAAATAAAACCATTCTATAGGAAAATTCAGGTTTGTATCTGTTCTAGGGCACATGTGTTCAAAACCATTAAAAACTATACAAAACTATGTAAATGTCCAAAGTGCTTCCACAGTAACCTGAAAAAAAAATTAAAACTGGTCCTTTTGAGGGACCCAACATAATACCAAAGAACCTCTTTGTACACTAAGCAGAATCTTATTCAGTATTCCATTTACAAATTAAATGTGTTTATTGTAGAAAAGTTTAGATTGCTATAAGCGCAAAGAATTGAAATAGCCAATAACTTAGTGTCGGAATTTTAAATAGAATCTACCTTAAAAGTAGTAAGTTTTTGTGGATAAGTTGTGTAGATGCACACAGAAGCATTCAAATGATATGATGTCTAGAATTTGCTTCAAATTATAGATGAAACAAGATTGAGAATGGGTTAACAATCATTGAAACTAAATACTGAGTACATGGAGTTTATATTATTCTTTCTACTTTAGAAAACTTTTGACAATTTCCTACAGAAAAATAAAAAACAAAACATGTTTTGGTAGGGGTTAATTCCCATTTTATTTAAGAGTTAATATTACTTAATGCTTTGTGATCTATAGCCTTTGCCAAAATATTAGATTATCTTTAATCTCTATGGTAATGACTAATAAAAAGTAATCCAAATTACTCCTTATCCCATAATCTTGCCTCTAGTCTAGAGAAAAACTATGTAATAGATGTGCTTTGTTAATGAATAGTATTTTTATACTTTTAATGATTTATACATCTTATATGTACATTTAGAAGTAAATATAGTTGTGTATTTTTGTTTTAAATTATTATAAAAGTTTATCATGTCAATAAAATGAAGCAAAACCATTTTTAACTATATAATATTCCATCAATGGATGTGCTATGATGCACTTAACATTTTTTTTTCTTAAACTTTAACATTTGGTTCCTGTTTAGATTCTCCATTTTATAAGCAGTAAGTGGTAAATAGATTTACATCTGCTGGAAGTCCTTCTGTTCATTTAACTTTCTTTAGGCTGGTAGAATAATAACTGGTTTAGAAGTCCACTGTTGTAATTTGAAGTGTAAATGCCTACATTAACCTTTTTCCAAAACAAAATTGTTTTATTTGACATTCCTTTTTATTTTCTTCCCCATTGGACAACCACTTTAAGTTTTTGTAAACCATTCTTTTCCAGGCATTGCAAAGCTGGAAGAAGGAGATGAACTTCTACTTGCAATACCACGTGGAGATGCTAAAATTTCACAGGATGGAGATGGCACTTTTTTTGGTGCATTGAAACTTCTGTGACCTATTTACACCTTGTTTGTGGCCAATTTCCTCCCTTTCTATGTATCTCTAAGGAGAAAGCACTTAACTGGAAATACCAAAAGGGAAAAAAAAAAGTAGTTACCATAGCCTTTTCTGTGAGCTATTTGTTTTGGTTTGCTGAAACTAGACCGGACAGGAAATTTAACAGACAACCACAGCCAAAGGGTGTCATGTGAATTACAAGAAGTAGAGCTCATTTAAGGAAAGATAGAATTAGGAAGACTTTTTCACCATAATGCCATGTCAAACAATTTAGTCATAGCTTCTTGTCTTAGAGGAAGCTCAGGGTTCGAAAGGGCCGTAATGATTTGCTCAAAAACGGTATTCCATTTTTCACTACGAAACAAGTGCCCATTTCCATAGGACAGTAAGACTTTAGGGGGAAACCTCAGAATTCATCCTCTATGTTTATGTAAAATACACCCCTCTCCTTTTCAGTTAACATTGGAGAAAGTAAAAAGAAAAAATATATAGAAATTTTGCATTTCCTACATGTGAAAGTAATTAAAGCCTAAATTTAAACATCATATTAAACAATTGAAGATATAGTACTATGTAAGTCTTTTTTGGTTTATTTCAAGTTTGCAGTTTTTCTCTCTGATGCTATATATTACCCAATGGAACACTCCCCAACAGGTTTCATAGGAGGAGAATAACTCTCACATGTGTCTGCACGTATGTGTGTTGTTTGTAGCTAATATTCAGAAACTTAATGTAGGGTAATTTTAATTCATGCATATAACCATTAATTGAAAAAATAACTATAATTGTTCTTATATAAAAACAAAATCTTCACTAGAAATTAATGAATACATTTGTAATAATGTAATATAAATTTTCTTTATTTCCTTTTCTGTTTTAAACTACTGTTCACATGTCCCAACCTTCAAAAGCAGTCATGTTATTAGCTTTACTGAAGGTGGGGTTTCATTCAATTTCTTGGCATCCTGAAGTATGCTATATGCTATATGCTGTTTATAAAGTTACCATATGCCGGAAGATATCACCTAATTTTCATTTCATAAAGAACCACATTTGAGATTGCTATAATACTGACATTTATTACATCTATTTCCCCTTTGTTTTGCTTGCTGTTGTTTTTTAAATGTCAAATGTCATCAATTTAAAGAGCTTTCACTTCATTAAACAGTTTCTTTCATTAGTTTAATCAGTAGCTGGAAGAATAGACCCTGGTCAGCACTAAATTTCCCCCAGTCTGTATGAAAACAATGTTAAAGGTATAATTTTCAAAACAAAAGCAATGATTTGTATTTTTGTATATAAACTTAAACTTTGTTTAAATATAATTTTGACTTTTTTGTTAAAACAAAATCTATTTTGCAATTATTTTGTTTTACAATATAATCATTAAAAGGAAGGGATAGGTAGGGTAGGAGTTTTGATACCAGGAGGTGGTTAGGAATTTTCTTAGTGTTGCTGCTAACTTGGATTGCCAAATAAAAACGCTCCGAGTCTTTTGCCTCATTTTTTGATTGAGTTTGTCTAACACCACTCCTCTTTTAGTTTCTTTCCATATAACTACTAAATGCCATTTTAAAAATTAGGTACATACTTGTAAAACATTAGAAAGTCACATGTGTTAGGGCATGACAATAAGGTATTTGAAATCAAGAATATTTTACATATTTCAAAAAGGATTTGTAGCCCTAGCTGGTTGGCTCAGTGTATAGAGTGTTGGCCTGTGGACTGAAGGGTCCCAGGTTCGATTCCGGTCAAGGGCATGTACCTTGGTTGCGGGCACATCCCCAGTAGGAGGTGTGCAGGAGGCAGCTGATCGATGTTTCTCTCTCATCGATGTTTCTAACTATCCCTCTCCCTTCCTTTCTGTAAAAAATCAATAAAATATATTTAAATTTAAAAAAGGATTTGTACACATTAGTATTTTATAAAGAAAGGATATAAATTACATATTTCTTGGAGAATAAGTTTGAAAAGATAATCCTGCACTATAATAAGCTTGCACATTAAGCTATTAAAATCTGCAGCTTGCACCATTATTCTTTATAAATGACCTAGCATATTTTGTCAGCAGGTGTAGAATTTAGCCACATAAAATATTCTTAAATCTTATATTACTTTCGGTTTAAACCATTGTTAAAATGTGAACCCTATCTTCCTCGTATATGAAATGTGAGGAATATTAGACTTTGGTTGAATGAAAGTTTATTTAGATATCAGGAAATAGAATTAAGATCAGGTGTGTATGGGGCTCCCACCGCAGCAGCCGCCGCCCGAGTTCCCACTGCTCTACCCTTCCCCCAACTTATTTTAGGAAAAAAAAAAAGATGTTATACTAGGATTACCTACAATAGAACATTTCTAAGGTTTAAGTGTATGGATCCAGTCCAGACACTCGTGTCCAAAATCTGAAATCAGGAGTGTGATGATGAATAACTACTTGAGGGTATTAAATTGTTCACTTGTGTGGGAACTAAGCCAGTTAGCACAGCGCCCAGAGGGAAATCATGTGCAGCCCTCAGTGGCCTCTGGAGAAATCAGCTCCACTCTCAGTCATCGTGTAAGAGACGGTCCTCCCAGTGTGGTTTGTTATGGATGCAGCAATTTATTGATAAAATTTCATAAATTCTTTTGTAATTTGAATTATGAATTATAAAATAGTGCCTGTTATCTGTCTGGCCCTATGCTAAGAACCTGGGAGTTATAAAATATTGCTTACTCCAGATTAACTGCAAGCACATTCACTTTGTAAAATTAATCTTGTAAGTTTGTATAAATTTGATTTACCTCCTTTTCCCCCCCTCTTTGAGGATATTTGTCACAGCATGATTTTAAGAGTAGCCCCTCACACTCTAACAAAAAAGAGAAACAACTTCAATAAGTGTCTGGCTGTGTAGATTAAGGTATGCCTACATAATGGAATGCTATGCAGTCATTAAAATTATGTTCTAGAACTCTATTCCAAGTCCTGGAAGAAGATCAAGAGAGTCAAGTGGAAAAGTAGGTTATAACAGCATGTAGAGTATGATCCCATTTTTGGTAAAACAAAAAATATCAGCATAAAAATAAAGGACAAAAGAAAAGCAAACACCAAAGCAATGGTGATTGTCTTTGAGTGCAGGGGGTTATCTTAGAATGATAGAATAGTTTTAATTTCCTTTCTCTGCCTTCTCTGAATGTTCTACAATAAGTATGCGCTGTTTTAATGATGAAACACTTCTCACTTCTTGAACTGTTACTAGAAGGAGAGTTTCACCACAGGATCTGTCTTTATTAACAGACTCTCATTAATTGGGTAGGTGGGCTCTCTCTCCCTTTTTAAATTTATTTATTTATTTATTTATTTATTTATTTATTTATTTATTTATTTTTTACAATACGATTTGGAAATAGCCCAAGTGCCCATCATTAGATGAATGGATAAAAAAGCTTTGGTACATTTACACAATGGAATACTATGTACCTGTGAAAAAGAAGGATCTCTTACTCTTTGGGACATCATGGATGGACCTGGAGACTATTATTCTAAGTGAAATAAGCCAATCAGAGAAAGACAAATATCACATGATCTCACTTATTTATGGAATCTAATGAACAAAATGAATTGACCAACAAAATAAAACCTGAAGCATGGCATGGAACAAACTGACATACCTTAATGTGGGGGTGGGGGGTGAGAAGACATAAACCAAAGAAGATATATACCCATATGCATAGCCCATGGATACGGGCAATAGGGTGGTGAAGGCCTGGGGAATGGGGATAGAGGCTGGGTGGAGGGGGATAAAGTGGTGAAAACGAGGGACATCTGTAATATCATCAACAATAAAAAAATATCCTATATAATAAAGAGGTAATATGCAAATTGACTGTCACACCTTCACACAAGATGACTGTCCCCATGTGGTCAAAGATGGCCACACCCATGTGGTCACAAGATGGCCACTACAAGATGGCCAGCAGGGGAGAACAGTTGGAGTGACCGGACCTGCAGTGGAGGGAGAGCAGTTGGGGGGGACCAGGCCTGCAGGGGAGGGCAGTTGGGGGGGACTAGGCCAGCAGGGGAGGGCAGTTGGGGGTTACCGGGCCGGCAGGGGAGGGCAGTTGGGGGCAATTGGGCCAGCAGGGGAGCAGTTAGGCGTCGATCAGGCTGGCAGGGAAGTGGTTAGGGGGTAATCAGGCAGGCAGGCAGGCAGGTGAGCAGTTGGGAGCCAGCAGTCCTGGATTGTGAGAGGGATGTCCAACTGCCAATTTAGACACCCCCCCAGTGCACGAATTTTGTGCACCAGGCCTCTAGTATATAAAATAAATTTGATTAAGTTTTACAAATTAATTATGATTAGAAAGGGAATCTAAGATCTCTAGCCTTGCTCACGTCAGAGTAGCTTCTCCGGGTTCCTCTTCTTTGGGCCACACACAGGAATGAAGGGCTGGCATGGGGCAGTCAGCACCTCCAAACACGGGCTATCCCTGCAAAGCCATGTCCAGACCATCAGAAGGGAGTGCAATTTTCTTTTAAGCTTGGTTTGAGGTTGTCTTTGATTTTCTCATCTTCACCATTGGCATTATCCAAGTTACTAAGCCTTTTGTTATTTAAAAAATAATTTAATGACATTGTGTTTAAGATCACTTTAAAAATAAAGATAATAAAATAAAATTATAGAAATATTTAATAATACAGTACAAGGAAAAATTTGTTGCTTATTTAGATTTATTTTACAATCTTATGGCCTTTACCAATACTTTGAATGATATATTTAGAATATACGATACTTTTTTCTCTACAATTTTGGGCATTTGTTTTGTTTTAGTTATATCTTGTATGTTTTTGTAGGTCCTACTGCAACTCTGCACCGTATTTAGAACCAATCACAAAGATAGGAACTAATGTGCTGAGATTGGGTGAGTAGCTCTGTGCGATGAAGAAATGTTTGAGGTGGTGTTATGACACTGAACTGTCAATTGGGATCACCCAGTGGCTGCTTACTTTGTCATTTTCAAGGACTAAACAAATGAGATCAACAATACAGAAACAATGATATATCTGATGTGCAGCAGTGCAAGTTGATTAATTTCTTTGTTTAACATTTCCAGCTACACAAAAGTAACATTTTTTCACAAATAAATGAATAAAGTAATGAAATCCATTTTAGACCATTTAGAGGAAAACATTGGTTGTATCATTGTTTTTGATGGGGTGCTCTCTGTGTCCCCACCTATTGCCGGTGGAAGTGGGCTTCTTGGGGTGTCATGGGAATAAATATTTCCTGAGGCCCCCATGGGAGAATGAGGTGCTGTGGAAAGTTTCCTTTCTGTGGAATTAAGCCCCTTAGTTTCCAAGGTCCCGTCTCCCTCCATGCTGCCATGGAAGAAGACCCATCTTGTCTTCAGCAGAGCTAGGATCAAAGCCATTGCCCAGAGTTTTTGTTCCGTATGTTCCCAGCTGCAGTCCGCATGGCCATGGGCCATATGGCTTCTGGGGTTACATGGCTATGGAGGCACACAACAAGTGCAGGTCACGGAGCAAAGAGAAACCGGAGTTCAAGTGGCAAGAGAGAGAATTAATTGTTTGGGGGATTTTAAGTGGGAGCTTATCCAAGAAATCCTTCAGGATTTCACATGCTTTCAGTGGCTGCATCCCTGTGGCTAATTATCTTTTTCCCAGGTTAGACTGACAGGCAAATACCTTCCCTATCTCACCCCACTTCTCTAGGCATGTGCCATCACCCCCTTTGTTGGATCCCTTCCCCAGTGATTGGCAGCGAATGGACCGATGGTTCCCCGTGGAGCGTGAAGTTGCAGCTTCCTGGTGAAGCTGCCCTGATGACCATGCTTATAATGTCTGGCCTCCCCTTTGCTCCTTTCCTATTTTTAATATTAGCTAGCTAGTTATGATGGTAGGTAGCAACATTACCTTTAGGCTTGTATTGATAGTGGTAGATATATTTTATGAGAATGTTTTTATAAAACTAATCCTATTGTGTGTGCTTTTAAAGGTTAGTAAAAACCAATAACAGGTCAAATATTCTCCCCTGGAGCTGAGTATGAAGTGGCAAAATTCCATCTGGACAAAGTTTTGCGATGACCATGATGTGGCCACTGAGTGCAAGCTCACTGACAGCCATCTCCTGACCCCACACCGAGGCCCTGACCCCACTCTCTGGATATCAGAGGCCAACAAAGAGATTCAACTTGTTTACTGGCATCATTCGAAATTAGATGATGGTGATGAATGGACAAATAACAGGAAAAAATAGTTATGAGAGAAAGGAGGGAATTCTTTACCATTGAAGTGACAGATTCACTCTGCTTTACATGTTTTTGACTTTTCATATTGAAATAATTTAAAGCTTATAAAAATATAGAGAAGAAGGAGTACAAGGACATCTCTTATACCCTTTACTTTTATTCCCCACATGTTAGCATTTTACAGAACTAGAATCAAAATTAGGACGGTACCTTTGATACAATGTGGTCTTGCATGTGAATGATAATT